TCCGGGATATACAGCCTTGAGACACGACTCCGGTACGCTTCGGTACCGGGATCAGCCGTCGTAGACCTGCCGTCTGCTTCTGTCTTGTAGTCTCCCTGTACGGCCTCCTCGGTCGACATCTAGATCGCTAGTTGCGGTGCGGAGCGAACACCAAGGAGAAGAATGATTTATTACGCGTGAACCAAGTTATATACTCTCTCACTCCCTATTATTCGCATCATTCTGATCCTCTTTCATTTCACTTTCAAACGTACATTATCGCTTGAGGAACTTCGATTAGCCTCTGACTAGAAGCAACTTTGCAATACACATAAGACTGAAGTAATGTCTGCAAAATATTTGTGGTAAAACTCGCCCCACTGTAAAACTATTACAGATCAATCAGCATACAACTATAAAGAGAAGAGTGTCGATGCAAGCGTTGACGCTCGCCGATCCGTCGACCCTGTTGATGGCTTAGCACCGAATCCGGACCCGCGTGAGGCCGCCAAAGAAGCAGCTCGAGCAGCTTCACGAGAAGCCTCTCATGAGGCACCACGTGCTGTCAAGGAGATTAGAGATTCCAGAGAAGGGCGAAAGGAACGACGTCGCAGGGAAAGGCGTAGAAGTAGACAACCGCGTGAGTGAACCCTTTGTCCGTTTCACATGAAGAGCACAAACTCCATTTTTCGACCACTGTTTTCAATTACAGCGCAAGCGATCAATACGTTCTGGGATCAGGAAGATCAGGACTTCATTGCCAGGAAGAATATGCAACGTAATCAGCGGTAGGTCATGAGAACCTTAGGTTTGTACCATACAATGGACCAAAACCGAATGAGTGCCCACAAGTTGCGGAAACCGGGCGCATTCCTTCTTATTCGTTTACGTTCTTTTACCTATACTGCAGCATTTCTCGACTTCTATGCTATTATAAAAGCCCTCAATGAGGAGGCTCATCGGAAGGCTAAGGTCGTGTCCTTACTTTGAGCTATCCATGGGTTAAACTTACAAGATGTTCCTTCATTTCTGAAAGCTCTCGAAGTGAACAAAGCTTGGTAAATAGTGCCATTCCAAGAAAAGTTAAACAATGCTACGGAGCGGAACGGTTATAAACTACCGACTTTCATCCAACAGAGCCAAGGAACTTTGCGACTGTTTCCGCACAAGACGAGGCTGTTCAGGTTACGAAATGGCCAAGAATATTATTCGGACCAGCTAGACTGGCTCTGAAGTACTGGAATACGAAGCCTACAGGGCCGCTCAGGAATCTGAAACCTCTGTGGATACTAGCCTGAGTCCTAGAACATGAAAACATCTATTTGCGTGTCACTATGAATGCACCCCCCAGTCAGGGCTCATTTGGGGTTAGCATTTGAAACTGGTGTGGTTGAACTCGAACTTGGATGCTGAAGTTGTTCCTAACCTAACCTCATAAGTGGTCAGCGAACTGTACTCGATAGCCAAATGAGAACTCATGAAATTTGTGAGATTTGGATTTTTTTCTATTTGTAGGTTTCTATGATTTGACTCCAACTGTGTTATAGACTATAAGATGATACTTTTACAACTATAGCATTATTTTTAGGCGATTGCACGCAATGCAGGACCGTGATGAAACCGACGACACACTATTCGAGGTTCCAATGCGAATGCCTGAAGTCGACTTCACAAGCCAAACTCCCGTCATCGCTTGACCATTTAATGTACTATTTTATCAATTGTTCTTGTCAGATAAAGACCATTTCAGTAATCGTCTGAAACTGTTTCGTTGCATTTCACATGGAATAACTATCAATCCTATATTGAGGCCAAAAGCTTGGCAAAGCGATATCTGTTTTAAGTTTATAAAAAATAAGGAAGACCTTTACATGCAGACAGTGGCAAAAATGTAGCTATACACCATAGCACGGTAAAAACATTCATCTAATATCATAAAGAAAGTATACATGATAAATGACCTAATATTTTTTTGTCACTAACAAAAACAACATACTATGTTGTAATCTGCCCAGGATGGGCATCGGGTCGATTTTTCCTCATTGAGGAAATTCATTTTTCTTGTCATATCTTCGTTGAAAATGGCATTAGATGCTTCGACGGAAAGCTGTTTCCGTTGCATCACGCTTTTGGATTCCGTGTGTCCGGTCGATGGAGTTTGAGCAATCCTTCCGAGTCCATCAACCTGAAGCAAGCATTTTTACCTTACTTTTTCTGGAAATGACTCACCTTCAAACGGCTAAAGCCGTTCCGCATTACACTTCGTCACACATGGAGAGATCAAACAAAAATGTTATGGTGCAGCTATGCAGTGTTCCAATTCATCGATAGCCGGGAACAAACAGTAGTGTAAGAATCACAGACTTGTGCTGAGTAAGGTCACGACATCAGTATTCCGAAGAACTCCGAGTCAAAGTTTAGCATGCAAGTGTATGGCTATCTTCAATTTAAAAATGCTCCCTAGAGCACTCATTCGG